GCTGGAAATGTCAGAGGGAAATTTTGGTGCTGGCTGCTCACCTCTTCCCTCCTCTGAAACTGCACAGGAGCAGCAGTAGCTCAACTGTCAGCAGCTCAGTACCCTGGGGAGATAGGGGTGGTTTGGCTGGAGCCCTCTCAGCAGGCAGGGGTGGCAGTATCTGGTCACTGTAGCACCAAGTTAGTGTTAGCATGGATAACATTCCTGCAGATGTTCTGAGAGGACTGGGAGAGAGGTGGTCCCTCAGTGCTGCTTATTTTTCTAAGGGGCTGATGAAATTACCCCTGTAGAACGTCTTGAAAGCTTCTTGAGCATCACCAAGCAGGACTGCAGCACTCAATTCAGAGCTTCTCAGTTCTCTTTGCACTGAGCATAAGCAAAGCTGGCTGCACCACTCCCTAGGTTTTACAGACCCATGCAGTGGCCAACACAGTCATCTCTGCCCTGATCTCTGTGAGCTCAGTGACACTGGCAGGGTCCTGATTTGTTTGCTATAGGACATCCCCTGTGCAAGCAGACCCTAAGCTTGCTGTTCCCAAACACAAGCCATGCATGCAAACAACATCATCCCCAGCTTGTTCCTTCAAGCCTATCCTATGGACACAAGGTGCATCCATTTCTCATCTGCTGCCTTGAGTTCTTCTGTCCATATCTTGGATTCCTTTCAGTTATCCATTGGGAAAGATTGAAGGGCTGCAGCACATACCTGGCAGGGGGTTGTCCTGTTGCAGATCACCTTGCATGGGAAGACCCTCTGTTCTGATACAAACATCTCTGAGACCTCCCAAAGCCTGGTTCTGTTGCCTCTCCCAGAGGGTGCTGTAAAATCGGCCTCTTGGCAGTGCTCTTGGCAGCAGCTGGAGGAACTGAGCAGTTAGACACAAGCAGCTGTTCAAGAAAGGGTCACAGTCAAAGGCAAGTGGCTCCTGGGGACAGGTGCTGTGCTGTCCCAGCTTGCTATGGCATACCATGAGCAGGAGAGAATCAGGTAGCTCCAAATGGACTCA